TCATTTTCACTCAGCTGCATAGTTACATTTTTTTTCATTCTACATCTGTCGGTTTGTATGTCTTTATGTCTGTCTGTATGAATGTATGTATGTACGTTTGTATGTATGTACAAGTATCGTCATAAAACAAAGTCTAGAGTGCGTTATGCCATTTATGGGGTTGACACCCAATAGAACAATCCCACAATTTACCGAGGAAATGTTTTATCCACTTATTGAATTAATAACGAGGATGACACCAAAGTAAAAACAAACAAAAAATGTTGGGAGGGGGGCGGGTGGAGTGTTGCTTTATGTATGGTACCCTGAGATATCGCACTTGGTGGCAATCGACCTAGTGTATAGCTGAATTAGCCATAACGAGTAACCCAATATTATACTTCTTGATGACATTTTGTCGTAGTTACTCATCACTCTAGGAACAGATGTGTCGCAGTAATTTGTACCACATTCAGACTGGCCATACACTGACACAACATCTGGCGTGGATCTATTTTAATTTACAGTTGCCAGAGTTAATTACAGTTGAACTTACCAGCAGTTATACAGTGTGGTGCGTGAACAATTAGGTAATTGCTCGTTTTTTGCTGAGCCATGTGAAAGTAAAATCTACATTTGCTACTCAGAGAAGTCTACTTGTATCCAGGTGACGTTGCTAGTATTGAATCCGGTAAATGGATTGGCACTTAGTCGCCAGGTGTTATTTATAATGTATACTAGGTGGTCTGTTATCAGTAGGTCAATGTTTAGCTGGTCTAAAGTATTAGTAGGTCAATGTTTAGCGGGTCTAAAGTATTAGTAGGTCAATGTTCAGCTGGTCTAAAGTATGAGTAGGTCAATGTTTTGCTGGTCTAAAGTATTAGTAGGTCAATGTTTAGCGGGTCTAAAGTATTAGTAGGTCAATGTTTAGCTGGTCTAAAGTATGAGTAGGTCAATGTTTTGCTGGTCTAAAGTATTAGTAGGTCAATGTTTAGCGGTTCTAAAGTATTAGTAGGTCAATGTTTAGCGGGTCTAAAGTATCAGTAGGTCAATGTTTAGCTGGTCTAAAGTATTAGTAGGTCAATGTTTAGCGGGTCTAAAGTATCAGTAGGTCAATGTTTAGCTGGTCTAAAGTATTAGTAGGTCAATGTTTAGCGGTTCTAAAGTATTAGTAGGTCAATGTTTAGCGGGTCTAAAGTATCAGTAGGTCAATGTTTAGCTGGTCTAAAGTATTAGTAGGTCAATGTTTAGCTGGTCTAAAGTATTAGTAGGTCAATGTTTAGCTGGTCTACAGTATTAGTAGGTCTATGTTTAGCTGGTCTAAAGTATCAGTAGGTCAATGTTTAGCTGGTCTAAAGTATTAATAGGTCAATGTTGAGCTGGTCTAAAGTATTAGTAGGTCTATATTTAGTTGGTCTAAAGCAGGGGTCTCCAAACTTTTTAGTCCGAGGGCCGCATTAACTATCACATTTCAGTTCGGGGGCCAGTTTCATCCAGGCTTGTCTTTGATTTTTCTGGGCAAAGTTCCTCAGCCATCACCAACAAACGATTTTTCCTTGGACAAAAAAAATCTCCGCGGGCCGGATCAGATGACTTCGCGGGCCGCATCCGGCCCGCAGGCCGTAGTTTGGAGACCCCTGGTCTAAAGTATTAGTATGATCTACTTCAGTCAGTAATGGTTAATAATAACATGAGATATGTGCGGCTGAATTTGACAATGAGCAGTGTTTATTTCAGGCATTTCTTTCGGAGGAGGGGTGGGGTGTCCTCGAAGCACATCTACCCCACCCCCTTAAACGAAATAGAATTTAACAAATATATACTTTTACCAGTGTCCGATTCCCCTCCCGGAAAATTTAGTCCGCTTCCCCGAAGTTTCAAGTGCCCCTTCCTCCCCCCCCCCCCCCCGAGAAAAAAAAGTCTGAAAGAAACACCGAATTTACATATCTCTGAGCTTATTTCCAGTAAAACAAAAAAAAAATGCGTTAATGAAATAATGTAGGTGTTGAAATAAATAAATCTTGGGGATCTCTTTAGAGACAGCCTACGGTGTTACCGCATTTATTTATCAACAGCAGTCCATTTAGAAGCAGTCTACATATGAGCTCCCATAATTAGCGGGTGTTTACAGTACTTGGTGACGGCACAGCCAATAGCGGCGGCCCCGCGGTTTATGGCTGTTTTATGTGTATGTTTCGTTTACTTGTTTAGAGAGCGGCAAGCGTGGCATAGAAAAAATAGAACGATATTAAAGTTTTATCGCGATATCATTTTCCGGGCCGTTCCACTAGTTTTTTTTTCATCGGCTTAAACGGTGTGTTCTGCTATAGATTTTTGGCTTTTTGATTAAGCAACTGGAAAAGCTGGCGCTCAGAGAAGCGATCCGTAGATTTGGCGGGCATTGTTGCTAATGTTTTAGGCGTTTAACCGTGGAGGGAGGGGGGGGGGGGGGGGGATCAGGCGAGATTGAAGGGAGACATGGTAAAATATTCATTTTTAATGCTCAAATGTGGGATTATTTTATGAAGTTGGTGTAGGTATTTTGTGTGTGGAAGGCTGAGGTCGGTAATTATGTCCGCAAATGGCACAAATCATCGTTGTATGATGTTCGAATGCAGGAAGATAGAATAGACGTCACATGCGTTTTAATTATCCCTGGCTTGATGCCTAGTCTTAGTTTTCAAGATAAATACGGATGGGACTAAATTATTGTGGTGAAGATTGAAGATAAATCGACTCCACCGTCGTAGGAAACATGACGTATTTGAAACGGCCTATTGTCGTAATTAACTTTAAACCTTAATTTAAAGAGTTCATTTTCGCCCCCCCCCCCCCCCACAGCAACATCCGCGAGATTTGACTAGTTCAACACAATGTTCATAAGTGATCCAACTAGCAAGTTTGGCTCACAGACCGACCCACTCACGACCCGTTCAACTCACCCCTCGCCAGTTGACCAACTTGTCACTCCTCGTCTTTTGTCTCGGCCGGGGATGAAATGCCACGGACAAAGTTTTCACTTCCTGAGAATAATTGCCTTCCAGACGGGATTCGTTCCCGCTATTATAGCATTAAATGAGACCCGCCTGTCAGTCACTAGCGGAACTCCTCCCCCTACCAACCTTTATCTAAAGGTTTCCACACTCCGCGGCATGAAGTGGTGACGCTTCCCCGTTGACAGGTTCATTTCAATTACTAATTACGCTGATGATTAAATTGTTACTCTACACTTCTCCGCCTTTTACACCATAATTATCGCCTTAAATACACTGTCATTTCATTTATTCCAACACTCTCTCTAATCTTCTCTGATTAGAAAATAATGAAAGGTGATTACTGTGAAGCAGTAACTGCATCTCTTTCTCTCTCTGTATATATATATATATATATATATATATATATATATATATATATATATATATATATATATATATATATATATATATATATACGATGGAATAGTTTCAAACAGAGGCTAAGAATTAATCGTTAATATTATTCAATATTTGGAAATTGCAATTTGTAAAAAAATATTTCCGAATCGGAAACCGCTAAAAAAAATTATGCTCATTGAAAATTCTTTCATCTGATTCTGTTAAGTCAAAAAATCTGGCACTTTTTGTTTCATTTGCCGGAGAGCTTACCCGGAGTGCAAGTTAACGTCGGATCCGTCTGGGTATTGATTGGACGGTCCGTCAAATGCTAGGTGACAGGCTCTCACGTGACTGTCCACAAAGGAGACCGTACCAGGCTGGTCTTAGAACTGCTCAGAAGAATCACATTTTTCCATTTGGGCTTTTGACCCTCAGAACCTTGTTTACTTTTTTTTTCTTTCTTATCGAATTATTCAAGCCCTCCAAACCCCGGTTGTGATATGTATATGGGCTTTAAATATGTATGTGGTTTTGTGCTATAGGCCTACTTCTTAATATTCGAATAGCTTTTCATTAAGTAAAAGATCTCACTCAAATCATTTATGATACAATTGATAGAAACACTACCTACCTTACATGCGTAACATTTCTAGTTATGTATGGAAGTAGCATATTAATAGCGTGAACTGTTTACATTGATACAAATATAGTGGTTGTATAGTTGTGTTAATTGAAAACAAAAGCGAAATGTGGCTGTGTTTTAATTAAATACACATTTCCTTGATCCGGACACCAAATCCGGAGTCCGCACACGGTATCAACAACTACACCAGCCCGAGCACTAAATCTCGAAAGCCTCGTCTTTAAAGAAACAGTAGTTACTCCCCCCAGGGGGCCGAGCTTGACCAACGGTTCATTTTATCTACAGTTAACGGTCAGTTTATGACCCTGGATGAGGTCGGGTCAGCAACCCGAGCTGACATCCCCGGCTGTTTAATGCGTCTTGGTCGTAATGACCAGGGCGTCCAGTGTTCTTGGGGGCCGGGATGTAATTTACTGCGGTATGCGAAGGTCGGAGTTGCCTAAGGTTAACCGGCTGGGGGTCAGCTTGGGTCATAGTACCTGACCTTTCCGCTGCTGTCGGAGAGGAGCCAGTCGCATTGACGCAACGCTTGAGGCTATTCGCTACACGATTAGAATCTACTCATGATTACTGTGGAGATATTTTCTACCCACTCAAGAATTTGGACAAAAAAATAATTCACTTCTGCCCTAGTTAAGTCATATTAAATGCCAGAATATATTAGTTTATTGTTACATACACGTATTTTTTTTTATTCCAAAATGGAATTCTTGAAATAACTATCACAACTGATTAACTGACGTAATTCCATTTTGCTTTACAAATGTTAAAACTCGAATATTATGCAATATATACATTTTTTAAAATAGTTCCCTCTAGCCCGACTAAATTTATAGACTTGTAGATTTATAAATTTATAAACTAATTTTTTTGTGATAAATCTGGTCATAGGAATATAGTTTATTAATCACACGATGCATATTTTAAATGTATTTTATTTTTATGTTGACTGAGTTATCAAGGTAACCCCACTAATAATTGCACTCTCTGTTTATTCCCCTTAGGTGCAGAGTTATCTATATGTCCAATGGCAGAAACATGCTGTACGCGGAGTTTAGAGGAAAAACTTGTTTTACTTAGTAAAAAGGATCATACCAAACAGATGGAGGAGGCTTTTAAACTTGTCAAAAATACATTTACAACTCAAACTAAGAAGTTTGACGGTAAGTCAATTCATGTAACTCTTGTTTCTCTTTCCTGTGCACAGTTGGACGATTCACTCTTTTCCCTCTAGGCCCCTCACACAGTAGGTCAGTTCACTCAAATATTTTCCCTTCTCTACCCACCCCCTCACCAAACAATCCTTAAGAGGTTATCACATATCAGCACAACGTTGATGGTCTACTGTTTCTGAATGTCAGCTACTTGATTCTTACACAGCTTTACTGAGACAAGCAAAACGTCTTATACCGCAACTGAACAATATAAAAAAATAAACAGAAACCATATATATATATATATATATATATATAATATATATATATATAATATATATATATATATATAATTAAAATTAAAAACCTATATTAAAATATAGGTTAGTTTCTGTGCAGTTCAGTACTCCTACTTTTTTATTTTTTAAACGAAACGCGATAAAGGTAACAGGAATACTTGATAATGGCTCGTCGTATCTGTGCATGGAATGCGAGCGACTACCTTTCCGCGGTGCAACCTTATCTTGCCTTATCATAAAACACGAATGTATCGAGGCCACGGGGTCGCGGACCTATGGGACAGATGTACACCTATAGCCGGTGGACGGGCGTTTATCTGTGAACAAGATTCACCTGTTTCATCGGATATTCTGCCTGTCTTTGAAGTCGGGCCCGCGACATGATGTTTAAACTAATTCGTTTAAAAGTGTAGTAAAGATAAACAGCAATTTAAAAGTCACCTCGTCGGTTATTTGGGTCTTTTGTGTATAAATAGGTGGATGAAATGACGAGACCATTTCAGTGCTTGGAGGGGGTTGGACGGGGAGTTGGACGGGGAGGGGGGGGGGGGGGGGGGGTTTGGACGGTGGACTCTGATAAAAAGTATATATTTTCTATATACACTGGTAAAAAGTATATATGTTTTATAAAAATTCTATTTTCATGGGAAGGGGGGGGGGGGGTGGAGGGACGGTAGACCTGTCTGAAAGAAACACCGGACCGTTTATTCAAAGTTACTTTCATGCCTCTCTTCGGGGGGGGGGGGGGGCTAAAGCTCCCCCCCCCCCCCCCGAAATAATTCTACCGCCACCCCCCCCCCCCCCCCGAACGAAATGAAATTTATATAATTTATATAGAAAATATATACTTTTAACAGTGTCCGCCGCCCCCCCCCCCCCCCCCGAAGAAAGTCTACCGCCCCCCGAAAATTTCAAGTGCCCCCCCCCCTTCCGGAGAAAAAAGTCTGGAAGAAACACTGCCGTTTATTCAATATATTTCGTTAGGAAAGCCAGTTCTGGTCAATCTAGTAGGAGAATGAGAAGGACCGCTAAATCTTATAAATTTCGTGTTCGACTGTTTAAAGATGGGACGACAAACGTTTTAACTATAATTGGTGTCGTATTTCATCATGACGTCGAGTCTACTCCAACCCCGTCGTGGTGTTTCTCGACCCTCTCCACTAGCAACCAATTATCGACACGACCTCCGATTCGCGTTACCGGGACGGGGGTAGGTGTGGGTGGCTGTAGGTTGTTTTATTGTGGCGCTTTATGACTCGGTACCGCGGTGAGGGTCATTGCTTGAAATATGACCCCTGTTGACCTCTCGTGATCCGGCTTTCCGAGGCCGCCTCAACATTCCAGAAACACGAGGGCTGTCATTTAGCCGGTGGTACCCGGTATATCATGTTCTCGTGCCCGGCTAAAGCCGGCAGGCAGATGTTGTTATCAGACTTAACAAGTAATGAAAACGATGAGTACATCAATCTAAACTTAACGGCTAATTATATCTAGGGATACCTGTTTCACCTATATAACTGTATGACTATATAACTCATATAAGTAAGATAACTAGGACTAGAAAATTCCACACACGTTAACCTTTTATCACACAACTATGCATAATCTTCAATTTTCACATCAAAACCACACACATCCATCCATTTTTTAAACAAAATAAATCCCCCTCCCCACCTTCACCCGTTCACCGCATCAATTTATCTATTTTCCTGCCCCAAAACTTCTCCCCCCCCTCTCTCTGTGCGCAGCCCTGGCCTCATTATATTTCACCCTCGCTGTTTATTTTTAAATCGTCAAATTCCTCGCCTTCCCGACTCACACGAGAGGGGAAAAAGTTTAGCTGGCGGCCAATACAGGAGAATACAGACACAGGACGTCTCTATAGATATAGATGCTGTGAGTGAACGTGCTCTAACTAGCTTCAACGGGTGCATGTATACCAGTATATACATGATTATAACATCTTATATATATATATATATATATATATATATATATATATATATATATATATATATATATATATATATATATATATATACACATACACTGATATTTGCACATAAACCTCATATTTTACGAATGTGTGTTACAACATGAATTTAACTTCAGTATATATAACAACACTTTCACCTTAAAATATGTTAAAATAACGACCTAATTATGGTAAAACGATCACATAGTTTCTTGTGGGACGCAGCTGTTTTCAAGAAAAAAATCTCCCGCCAGTGTTAACAATCATTCTTTGTTAGCAGACGAGAGTCCAGAAGCGTAGATAGCGGAGGGTGGGTGTAGATTCAAATACTAAAACAACACGCGAAAAATCCAATTTTTTTTGGAAAAAAAAAACACTTTACCCACGAGTTTCTTTCTTTTCGTTAAAAAAATCCCAGTTTATATTTTTTATTCTCCCAATGACGTATGTTCCTAAAAAATGTATGCTGTCTCTTCTTCCACATTGGTGCACCCCCCCCCCCCCGGAACATGTTTAGCAGTGCTGTATGTGTCCTGATGGATTTATTTCCCCTGCGTCCATGCAACTACTGCTCACTCACACACCAGATTCCTGTAGGGAAAAAAAAGAAATATTCAAAAACATTTTTAACGGTTAATAAATAATCTCAGTGGTAATGTTTGTGTTGTGTAGGGTGTCGGGTTGAAACAGTATAGGCATCCTCTAAACTACTTCAACTTCAGCTGTAGCATAAAGGAAATTAGAGTAAATTTGGCTTACACGTTAATTTATTTAGTCTAGGTTTCACTTAACCTTTTAAAACTTTTTTAATTCTTAGACATTTAAATAAAAAGACCAGCTTAATTGGGTTTTTTCCAGTGCTTGTTTAAAGAGATGATGAGTTTTTGTGTGCTACAACACAATTTAAATTAAGTTGCGAACATTTAAACTACATTTCATGTTCATTTACAAGCTGTTTATTTTTTTTTAAACATAAAAACAAGACACTGACATTTTCGTTTAAAATGCTACAGTTGAACGTTTAATCGATTGATGACCAGACCCCCCCCCCCCCCCCCCCCAACCATCTGTACCTGTTAAGCACCCAAGTATTGCACAAATGTTTCCATTTCCTCCCCCTGCCGGCGAGTGAATTTAGTTCATTCCGTTAATTGCACGTCGACCCGTCCAGACCCCACGCACCTGTGATGCAGCACTCGCCGGCCGGCAAACCGAGGATGGATCGAGGGAGTCAATCTGTACCGAGGCTTTTTACATGGGTGCATTTTTCAGCTATGATTGATGGAGACGGTACACACAGCTGATCTAGACGATGTCTTGTGATTAAGTGTACATTTAGCGTTATCAGAAGAAAGCAATCGTTTAATGTTATGCTAAATTTCATGGCGAGTTTGTGGTGGATGTGTCTTTAAAAATGGGGTGGCGGTTTGGTTTAATCACTGTCAATTATTAATTAAGCTTTTATTAAACATTTATTAAATACAAAAATTAAATAAAATATCACTTATATATCAAGTCAGAGGAGAAAAAAAGGGACGAATAGCATAACGTGTAGCGATTCTGACCCCCTAGCTTTCAAGTCACCAAATATGATCCGTAGATAAATGGAAAACTTATTTTGAAATTTTAAAAATTAGAAAAAAATTAAACAATATGTACAGAAATTATTTGAAACAAAAACTGAAAAGGTATCTTGTATTCACAATCAGCATTAAAGGTTGCAGTGTGTATGTGGACGGGATTCTGATAAATATCTACCATACTTTGACGGTCTGTGACTTTAGTAACCAGGTATTCAGGTAGATCAGATCTACACTAATTTCTAGATCTAGTTGTCGGGTAATATCCCACATGCTCAACCCACAGCTTACCTTTTTGCCCCCGTCGCTCTACTGGCCCAGATGGGTAAAAAACGAGGGGGGGGGGGGAGAGAAAAATCCCACTGAATCCTGGACTGACATTTTTTTTAAATTAAAAAAAAAGTTGACACGTCTGCGAGACGTAAGTGTGCGCAATGCGGTGCGCATCAGCGTGCGCAACAACGGAAGTAGAAAAATGAAGAAAAGCGTGTCCAACATCCACAGTAAGCCGTCACGTGTTCAAGAATTTAGAATCCTTTGTTCACCTCAGGTTATCAACGTACGACCTTCAACGTGCGACTTATCATTAATTTAATAAACACTTATAATTAATTCATGAGCTGTGTTTAAATTAAAAAAACATGTATGTACGTGTTTATTTTGTGCTTTACATAATTTTAATGTTTTAAAGCGTATAACGATCCCCAACCATTTTGTTATTCAGAATATCATTTGGTTTGCATTTGATCAAACTAAATGGATATAATCAGCAACATTCAAACTTAACACTTTGTTTGCTTCATCCCCTTTTTATTTGTACCGTATCACGCACAGATTCATGGACACTTGCGATTTTAGTCAATGAATAAGTAGGGAGGGGAGATAAATGTGTATCATGGACTAATACGTTCATCACATCATTACATCCCTAAGATCGACTAAAACTAAATTGGACGTAAATTTGTAAAATTTGTTATATTTTCAATAAAAGTGAATAACGTCCTCTGGCGTATAGATATACTTTTTTTCTGAAAAGCCGGATTAAAAAACCCTTAGCAAACAAAAAATGAATCACCGTTTTGTATCGCCTGTACCGGCGACGATCGATCCACCGGCCATAGCTGAACCAAGGGAGCGAAGTGTGTTCAGGCGGGC